CAATTTTACAAATAATGAATAGTATTACAGTATATCGAAAAATGTACAATGATTTACATTAAATTGCGCAGACTGCAAACAATGTACATGGTTGGCGAATTTGCATGCGCGTTCTTGATAATAAGAATTAAAGGTTGAACTTAAAATTCAAACATTTTCTTTTTTAAACATAATAAATCTTTAAATCAAGAAAATAAAAATAAGATTGATGATTGAACTTTTCATAGTCAACTGCGACTGTGTCGACGCATGTTTATTTACTTAGCTAGTTAGATATGTAAAATTTTTAATGGCCGCAACGGATAATACGTACATGTAAGCTGTTCGGATAAGACATTTCTATATGATTAATAACAAATCCCGGGCAGAATATTATTCAACAGTACCTGATCTTATCAGTTATTATTCAATTTGGATAATAAATCTATTATCTCGTCGTATTGATGTTTATTATATAGTGTTTCTCGTTGTGGTAACAGTTGTCATTTGTCTGAGATTAAATTGAAAAAAGTGAGAGAGAATGATAATGGTGTCATATCAGCAAAATGTGTCTGTATCTCTACAAGCATTTTACGGAATCACAGATTTATATTAACTATTCATAAAGAGAATAATGTGTATATCCATCTGTGTTAGTTACCTGGACTTGGCATTTTAATGGCAATGTGTTTTCCACCAGACATTTTCCCAAATTAATTTTTAATTTTGCAAAGTGTGACCTTTTTATATGGAAGAATGCAGTTCGTATTGGGCCAATTATTGAAGATTATGTACATGTCAAAATATAAGTTGTAATTCTTTGTATAAATGCTTCCTTTTTAGGGTTTATAAAAATTCCTAGATGGCCTAATAATTGGTTATAAAGATTAAAACATTCACTATGTTTCCTTTACCAGACTTATATTATATTATGTTAATGCAGCTCCTGGGAACAAACACTGCTTCTTATTACATTAGAATCTCATAAAATAATTTGATGCCCTTCAGAAACCAATACTGATTTTATTGACGTCATATCTAGGTTTCACGGTCTATTTCATACACAATGTTAATAAAATTATGTTCTTTACTATTGATGATAAATATTCAGTTTATTTAATAAAGTTGATCAAAATGAATCTTGCAAAGGGATCATTAACACTCATCTGTTACTAAAGGAATAAAGAATCCTGTATATGATTTATTGGAGATTTAAAAGCATACACATAATGTACAATGGTGAAGTATCAGGATGGGCTAGTGCATGCATGAATGCTTTTAAATCCAATAAAGAATGATACAAGGTTCTTTATTGCAATTCAAATACATGTACACCAGAACTCCTTTGTAAGACATTGTCCAATTCTTTATGAAAACGTAATGCACCGTGATGATGTCACTCTTTTACCAATAATGTACTGCTCAGTTTGTGAAACTGTTAACTAAACTAAGAAACCATAATGCACTGTAAAATAATGCTTCTGCTCAGTTGACCATATACCTTGAATTAATGCACTGAAATACTCTAAGTTGATTGGTATATTTGACATATTTGAATTAAAAATATGATGATCTGTGGAAATAAACTGTTTACAGAAAACTGGACTTCACCATTCTTTAAGTGTGGCCTAAACTTTACTTTTTTTCAGAAACAAGTCAAATTCTTTACTTCAGAGAATATTTTTAATTTATTGAGACTTTCGACTAATATCCCTTAGTCTTTTTCAAAATATAACAGCATGTATACAATTTATGTGACGTCATAAACAGACAATGGAAAATTTAATTATGTAATAAATGACCTAGTAACCTAAAAAATAACAACAACAAAAAACATAGATACGAAAAAACGAATGACCTAATAATAACCTTAAGATAAATATATCATCGTTATGGTAACAATTAAACTCAAATATTACTATTGCATACTTTGCTATACCATTCTTAATTTACAATATTTTATGATACAAATTGTCCAACTGATACCCATTATCTCTGTTCATTTTAGGTTGCATTGTTTTGATATGAATTGCTTCCTTAACCCTACGTTTAAGATCATGACTCTCATTATCAATGATTTTTACATTGTTCTAGTTTATATTATGATCATATTCCATGGAATGTTCAATAACCGCAGAAGCAAGACCTCCAGTCGACAGTAATGTGGGTCTACGATGTTCTCTGATTCTAGTAACTAGTTCCCGCTTTTTACTTTTTTTATTTAATTTGATAGGATTTGTTTTCCTTGTCATACATGTATGAATAAGCCAAAGGGTGGCCAGTCTGAGTACAACCATCAACAACACATATTGATTGATTTTGATAAGTCTTCACACACCACAACCACACAACCAAATCAATTACTGTTATCTTGGTTAAGGTATGCAAATATCAAAATAAGCAGCCAACCAGCACAACATGTTTAGAATTGTTGATTGATTACCAATATAGTATTACATGTACATGTATTATGGTTAAATTGTATTTACAATTGTTGTAGCTGTTACATAGACATCATCATCAATGTTTAATATATGTATCAACTGCTTTTCCTGATCCACAACTCCAATGCAAGGTATCAACTTTAATAGGGCCTTAGGGACAAGGTCAATATATCAGTGTATGTCGACAAACATAATTAATTACACTTAGGGGTAAAGTTCTATTACATTTTGATTGTATACATTGATTTTAAAAGGAAGTCACTTTTTATCTAAAATTCCAATAAATGTTTCTTGGGGGTTCACTCAGGAATGTAATTAAAAGCTGAAGTCAGATTATGGATTCTACAGCCTATACCATTTCTTAAAGCATGAAATAAAGACAAATGATGTAGTCTGTCATCTTAGCCAAAAGTATAATAGGCTATAAGATTATATCTAACATCACACTTTTGGCACAATTAAGTCATTTATTAAGAAAATGAAAATCAATAAGAATTGACTGTCTATACACAAACAAATGAAAGTTTTGATATTAGGCTGTGAAAGTAAATTTTGTATGTTTGATTTCTTATAGGAGTTCCATAACTTAAGAATCTGCACCAAAGCAAGGCTTTGTACAGATCCCTGTGTACAGATTTGGTTCAAATTTTATTAGCTGATACCTTATGGGCTTAGGACCTCTGCTCGAAAAGAAACTTTCAATATAGCCACTCGTGTCATTTTGATAACTTAAATACCAGTTATCGGATTTGGTCCCAAATAATGTCATAGGGTGTAGATTTTTACCTACTGCCTGTTTATATCATCATGTGATGTTCGAACTAAAAGTGATTTGATAAATATGTTTTGTTTCGTGGAATCTGCTACTTCGGGGAGTTGCTGTTTTTCTAGCTCTACTTGATCAGCTAGTTTGATAAGATCTGACTTTGCTAACAAATTATCTCAAAGATGAGATGATTAGCTTTTTATTTATTGGATATCATGAATTCTAATTGCTTGATTATTGTTATCTTGTGTCATAACATGTCCTGGAACTGTCAGTTTGAATTGCTGTGCTGCTGGAAAGGAATTATTCTCAAGTTATGTCAGTAAGTGCATACTTTGAGGCAATAGGGCTAGCAGTACAATACTAGAAAGTCATCATTTGGATCAAAAAGGCAGATTCTTGCAAAGATGTGCTCCATGTAATGTCTACTTCAAGCCACATTTCAAATTGATGAGCGGTAGATCAAAGAAGTAGCATAGGTTGTGTTTATCAACAGTTGTGGAGAAAAATTAGGGGTATAGCATTAATGACAATTCTTTTGTAGTGTTGATCATATTGATTTTCTGTTCATGGATTTAAAAACATTATTATCTCATTTATTACATCTCCACGAAGTGGAGTTAACATTGTCTGCTTGTTGTAAATATTCAGTGTCAGTATATTTTACAATTGCCACACTAATATCAGCAGGGTGGTGATATTTGTCATTTTAATGCCTAGCTTGTTACTATTATGTGATAAACCAATACATGCCATTTGCAGTTAAGTGACATTTGCCATATTCCCATTCTGATACTCATAGCATCCTTTCTGTTTCACCTGAAACATCTCAGTGCTGAGAAAAATGAGATGTCATGGTTTATCATCATGCCATATTCCTAACACCAAATAGAAATCAGTTGATTTATGTCACCAGATGCCTCAATGCCATAATTTAGACAAAACTAGGCTAAGAAATAATATACAACTGAACAACCCTTTTTATCGTACCTAACAAGAGGTACGATATTGTAGTCAGCTTGGCGGGCGGTGGGTGGCGTCTCACTTTTCAGCTTGTCCTAAAATCTTTACTTTCAAGACTTGTCTACAGGTTTCCAGCCAAACCTTTTGAGGGATTCATCTGAAATTTTCAGGGATGTTTCTACATATCAACGTCAAGAACTGATTAGTTTTTGGGCATTCTGGGTAAATTTTAAGGTTGAGGGATTCATCTGAAATTTTCAGGGATGTTTCTACGTATCAATGTCAAGAACTGATTAGTTTTTGGCCATTGTGAGTAAATTTTAAGGTGGCCATTTTGGATTTTCCATCCTAAAATTTTCACTTTAAAGACTTGTCTACAGGTTTCCAGCCAAACCATTTGAGGGATTCATCTGAAATTTTCAGGGATCTTTCTATGTATGAAAGTTTACTTTTCTTTTCTTACCACTTTTCTGCGGCCATCTTGCTTTCTTGGTCAACAAGACCACAATGCTGTGTTTTAGGTACGACATGTTCACATCTGTGCCTTGTTGAATTAGCAAACCATTTTTTCATTTTGAAATTTTAATAGCTAATTTACATAATATATTATGATATGAAGTATAATATACTCTTTACATACAGAATATGTTTATATGGCATTAAGTGTATGCAATTATATTAAAATTTAATGACATCCGTGATATGCCAATGGGAATCATAATTATAATTTAAGAATATTCAAATTTCTAGTGCTGTATAAAGAATGTGTTTTTTGTATTTGTCATGAGAAACCATAATAAAGGGTCTTATTAGAAAAGCAAATCATACTTTTTCATGTTTATTTTCAGAATGGAGAAAATGGTGATGTCATAGGGGAACTTCCAAGAGATAGGTACACATGGCGTCATCAGAATGGTGGGTAAGTAGGATATATCTTATTTAGTTTTTCCAAGTAGTTCTCATTTAGGAGATGATATTTAGCTTCTAGGGGAGATTGTTTCTCTCAGGATAATGAATACAGGAACGATCTGATATATTAACTCAAAACATAAGGATTACTGATTTTTGAAGGCTGCAGTAATTTTATATTTCCACAAAATCCAGAATTAGAGGTCACATCAGAACAAATCAATTATAAAGGTGCCAGTAGTGAGTACCACTTTCACCATAATTCTGGTCAAATAACATGGCAGACATTTGAAAATGATTTTCATGATTTTATAACATGGTCCTGACCCATTCTGATTTATCAGAGTCTCTTTATCTAAAGCTTATTCCAAGGGATAGTCCCGGGGGTTTCACTCCAATATACCTCTTAATACCTATGTGCCGTGCCAAAGACCCCCTTTTTGAGCATTTTATCCATGTCAATTTCCTCTCAAGTTTGAAGGTTTCCTTGTTTTATTCCTCTCGAAAACAGCAATTATATTATGTCCATGTCGAATTCCTCTTGAGTTTGCTGGGACAATTTTTTCGTAAATTTTGTTAAATTGACTAAAAAATTCACTTTTCAAGTGATTTGTCCCTGGGTTCGGCAACTGATTTAACAAACTAATATCATTTTTTGTAGAAAGACTTAATTTTGACCTAAATCAAGATGATTTCTAATTGCATCTAGTCTATTACAATTTGTTATTTTCATAATTCTTTGCTGTCATCATCAATCCGTTTGATATATTTTATTTGAATTAATTTGTCTTTCTGTCAATTCATCAAGTATTTCTTGTATGAATTCAAGAATTCCATTTAAAACATGATGAATGTTTTTTTAAGCAACTAGCTAATGAATCAATTTATTTTGCCAACTTAACTGAAAAGTAAGGTTGGTTTCATGAGATACAATTTTGTACTTGAGTCATTTGTTTATATGATTTACGCATTCTGAAGGGCAATTTGATTAATTCACATTCACATTGATTTATTCTTAGTAATTTCTAATGCTTGAACTAGTTCGAATCAATTCATCAAAGCTCTGTTACATGAGATATCATCTGCTGGGATTAAAAAACTTCTGTTTTGCTTCTACTTAATTTATCCCAATTTGGGACTGGCATATATTCTGGCAAGTAAACCACTAAATGGTTCACAATCTCAGTTTATTAAATCTATTTTCAAATGATTAGAACGCTCAATTCTTGATTTTAAGAGTCACTTTCGGGGCCTATAAATTAAATATTTCATGTATTGAAATTACTTGAACAGATTTTTGTATAGTTAGGAAGTCAGACAATAATTATGATATTTTTTATTGATCTTAAATTAACATTTACAATTGAAATCTATAATTGCAAATGAGTAATAATGACTAAAAAGTCAGACTCCTACAAGATAATGAGTAATTGTAGAAACATCCATCTTTCCTAATAACAGACACTGTCTGAAAATGCTAATTTGTGTTAATTGTTTTATAATGGGGCATATTCTGATGAGCTTTTGAATTTTTTCATTTTCTTTTTCTGTAACAAGATGAGTACAGAAATGTATTATGTCTGAATGAGGTTTTCATATTTGTTTCCACAGTTCAAAACATACTTCCAGAGGCCAGTGTTTCAATAATGTAAACAATTTATTAAGTTTTGAACCTTGAATGTCACTTCTTTTGGAGAAAAATCAATTTTGCTATCATTGTTGTTTTTCTCTGAATAACATTGTTTTCAAAATAAAGAAAAGTTATTTTTACATGCCTGGCTTGGAAGACAGAAGTGACAGAGTGGAAATAAAAAATGACATTGAAATATGCATAACCTTTGTTATAATGTTTCACTTATATTCCTAGCAGGCTACCATTTCATTTTAACTCTTAATACAATGCCATACTTTAATGAGGTCATAAAAATCATCAGATCATCAGTGAGTAGAGTTTTACTTCAACCCCGGGTTAGTTAAAACATATGAACTTCAAAGTTCAAACTAGTGAATGATTGTGATTCTAAGTGAACATTATTATTTCTTTCAGCCCCCCTGAACACAACCCATTCTATACCAGTATAGACAGTATGCCTGAGATTAAGCCCCGCAGGAAGTCAATCCCCCTCGTCAGTGACCTGGTAAGTAGTGACATCTGGTGAAGAGATTTACTTTGCTGACATCAAGTGATGTTAGATCAAATTGTTCAAAAGTCATTTGTTGCCATTTCTGCTCATTGTTACTTGACATTTCCCAGTTTTGAAAACCATGTATATGAACAACATGCTCACATCACCAAGGACAAATCATTTTCTTTATTGACCATTGAATAATATCCTTCATATTGACATTTCATGTCAACACTGTCAGCCAATGTAACTGCATTAGATTGAGCTGGTGAAAGTTATAGTTTTGCAACTGTTGCCCATACAGAACTCTCATGATGGCCAGGTTTTATGTCACAGTAAAGTGTGGATTTGAGAGCAATCAGCAAGGAATACATAAACCAGCACTCAATTTTAAAAATGTGCTATTTATAGACAATGAATTATAAATGAAATACATTTGTCTATAGTTATGTTTTATGTATTTACAATTTAGAAACCACATTTGTTTCCATGTTTCCATTAATCCAGGTGTGACAGCTTGCAATCCAGGTATGGCAACATATCCTGGTGTGACAGTCTTAATCCAGGTGTGACAGCATATCATCAAAATTAATTAACTTTTATTACACACATTGTTAAATGAAAGCTTTATAGTTGTGACAAAACATTCCAGAATTTTTTTATTCTTAGAATAACATAAAAAGCCTTATAACAACCTAAGAATCAACAAACTTATATATAATGTTAACATGTATTAAAAATAATAAAAAAAGGTTAAACTCTAATATGTTTATAATCTTGTATATTTCAAGGTCATGAAGGTAACATTCTTATTAAATACTGACGTTGTTTCATAGAAATAACCAATTGCAGAGCAATTGCTCTAAATTATCTGATCAATTCTTTGCATATTGGTTATGTATTGTCACTTTAAATGTTGTTTCATTATCTTTTTGAATAGTATAGAACAATGATGTAGTCACACTTTATATTGTTATACAAACAAATTGATTGTCATAGAAAAAGGAATTAATCCATGACAACATTTTTATACATACCAAATGTGCAATATGTAGTCAAGTTGTATTTTCTATGTGTGATTTTAGTTTGCAAAATGTACTAATGTGTACATGTAGTTAAATAATTATATTACTGATAAAGCTAAATCAGAAATATAGATTATTATAATAGCATATGAATGTCAAACTTTGGTTGAAATTTTTTATTTTGACAATCATTATATTTATATTCATTCAAAGACAACGTTTATCATGTGTTGCTTCATTGAATTGAATCACCATCAAGAATCAATGAATTCTGCCCTATAAGGTGATCCTACCTATTAGAAGCTAAACTTTATACCAAAGGCTGACCAAGTATGAATCGATTTAATAATCTGAAACATTTTCTATATTACTTATATTTATGGCACAATGCATTGTTTTTGTCTCAGTTTTAGGTCCTTCAAAAATATATAATTTCTTTACGACCTACAAAAATATATATAATTTTTTCTGAAAGATATATCCTGTTTTCAATACCTCCCTGTGAATGACATTTCAAAAAAAGTATGATTAAAACTGTACTTGTACCCTCATTTTAAAAAAATAAATGGGTTCTATTCTTTTGCTTGGGATGTTTTGGAACATTTGGAATTTAGTTGATATGAAGCTGAATATAAGTAAAATGTATTACTTCTCACTGTCTACAATGAATGTGAACATTTAAACCTACTTCCAATCACACTATTGCATGCCATCAATACTTGTAGCATATATATTATATTTTCAGACCTAATTTGTAACTCACCTGATATATAAAGCTTTGTTTTTCTGATTGTTTCAAGAGGTATTTTGAGAAATATTCAAGGAATAGTTCCAGAGTAATTCTTGAACATTTAACGGATGATCATGAATGTTCAATGGTTATTCATGAACATCCAAGGTCTCATCATGGCTATCAAAGAATTTATTCATGAAGATATCAAGAGGTATTCATTAGTTTTTCAACACCTAACGCAAAAAAAGATGTTAGGTCTTCTGAATTCTTACTATTCTTGAGCGATGACACTGTCATTGAAATATTCCTTTAAATTTTGTTAATTGATTTTCCAAGAATGATTAATTATTAAGTGCTGATTGTGTAAACTGTTATTTGCTACATTATTTTTGTGGCTGTCTATTTTCTAGTTCAGTTCATGAACTTATACATCCTTCAACTGGAAATATAGACAAATGGCTTCTCTGAATCAAAGGGAATAAAAGAATGTTTCATGTTGTTGAGTTCAGTAATCATATTAAGTAAGCCTTCTGAATCAGGCCTCTAGGTTCCTTAGCTGGTCTTATTTTTTTCTTATTATAATTTGCCAGAATTTCATATCTGACCTTAGATTTGAGATCTGACCTTTTGTTGACCTACAGTGACCTTTGGTAGGACGAAAGGATAGAAAATTGATTTTTATGCCTCCACTAGAAGAGATGACACATTGTTTAGTCTTCAAGTTGATGTTCAGCATCTGTGACAGTGTTTGCCGTATGTAACAGTGTTTGGCAAAACCTTGTGGGGTAGGAAAAAGTAATATTTTCAAGGTTAAAGGTCAAGGTCATAAATCATGTAAAACTATATTTAAAAATCATCTGCAAATAAGCAAGAGTTATCTGACATTTTATTTGAGATTTGACTTTCATTGTCATCAAAAGGTCAAAAAGTTGATTTTTCAGATCGGTTATTTGCGTTCAAATTTGACATAGCGTGGCCTGAAAAAATAAAATTTTCAAGGCCAAAGTAGGTCACAAAGGTGTTATTTAAGTTTTTCAAATATTTTGTCAAAGTCCAAGACTACTCTCTCTTTTTTTATAGTGACGGTCGATGTCATCAAACCTATCACAAATAGTGTCATCTAAGGTTCTCAGTGTTCAAGACTTCAAATAAATATTTTTGATAAGAAGTGACGATATATTCCTTTAAAAGTTCTACAAATGATAGCAATTGACTCAATTAATTCTAAATCTTTGAAGTTTTTGCCAGTTGCAAGGAAATCGTATATGATCTTTGATTTTAGAATTGATCTTCAAAGGGTCAAAAACATCATTGATGCCTCTACAATAAGTCAGAGTTATTATAACTGTTTTTTTTGTCTATGCTTTCAAATGTTATTTTTCATTATAAATGTTGTCATTTAATTAATGTACATGTAGTTGTATAATGTCTAATTAATTAGTATTAAAGTCAAATGTCCTATGTAAAAAAAGCATGGGTTTATTATTGAAATGTTTAATGTACTCTATTTGTCATGTTCCCTGTCAAAGCATATCATGATCGGACAGTATTTCGCTTTTCAAAAGTTAATGATATTTTAAAGTGTTCCAAACAGCTTAAGAGTTTTCTATTGGTTGAAGTGAAAAATGCTGTTTTAGAATACTTCACCATGTCTTTGTATACTTTTGTAATATTTTCTTTCTGTGAATTATGTCAAGTGATGACGTCTCATGTGTATTTATTTCTGTATATATAGAGCATGTATTTATACATTTTTATTATTCTTAATTGTCTGACTAGGCATTGGCGGTAAGTTACTATAGCAATGGAATGCATGTCGTTATAGCAACATTTAAACTTAGAAATATATTTTTCTTGAATTTGTAGTAAATACTGAGTGTAATCATTCTGAAATGAATGATTGATAAATTAGTATTTGATTAAAGTGATTGTTCCTTGTTTATCTGATTAGATATTTGAAAAACCTACCAATTTCAACAACCATTCTCTAATCTTTAGAAATAGTAGTTTTCTTGTTTGAGTGGTTCTCATTTTTACTTCAATATATTTTTATAAAAATGATATTTAGATATTCTGATCCCTCCTCTTTTTAATGTATTCTATGAAATATTTGCTTTGAGATTCAAGAAATCATTTTGATTTAAATATTTCATATCTTATTTACAATACTACACATTGTAATATTAGATGTGCATGGAGCGTGAAAATCATTTTTGACAAAAGCACTTTTTCTGATACTTTCCTTATTTCTAATTAGGTTCAGCACTCCACAGCACAGCTGTATTTTACTTAGAAATCTCCACCTGATTTTTTAAATGTTCTGATTTAGGGCTGAATTTAGACTTGATGAACAGTTAGCCACATCTAAAGTTAGTCACATCTTGATGAACTGTACTAGTTAGTGACTTGTAGTAAGGTAGTCATGACTTGATAACCATTTAACTACATGAAGTTGTGGTAGTCATGACTTGGTAACCAACAAACTACATGGAACTGTGGTAGCCATGACTTGATAACCATTTAACTACATGAAATTGTGGTAGTCATGACCTGGTAACCAACAAACTACATGAAACTGTGGTAGCCATGACTGGGTAACCAATAAACTACTTGAAGTTGTGGTAGTCATGACCTGGTAACCAACAAACTACACGAAGCTGTGGTAGTCATGACTTGGTAACCAACAAACTACATGGAACTGTGGTAGCCATGACTGGGTAACCAATAAACTGCATGAAGTTGTGGTAGTCATGACTTGGTAACCAACAAACTACATGGAACTGTGGTAGCCATGACTGGGTAACCAATTAACTACATGAAGTTGTGGTAGTCATGGCTTGATAACCAATTAACTACATGAAGTTGTGGTAGTCATGGCTTGATAACCAATTAACTACATGAAGTTGTGGTTGTCATGACTTGATAACCAATTAACTACATGAAGTTGTGGTAGTCATGACTTGATAACCAATTAACTACATGAAGTTGTGGTAGTCATGGCTTGATAACCAATTAACTACATGAAGTTGTGGTTGTCATGGCTTGATAACCAATTAACTACATGAAGTTGTGGTAGTCATGGCTTGATAACCAATTAACTACATGAAGTTGTGGTAGTCATGACTTGATAACCAAAACTACATGAAGTTGTAGTAGTCATGGCTTAATAACCAGTAAAC